CTATCTGGCATATTCTTACTCTCAAAGTTAGTTCTATTGATAATAATGATGATACATGAACAAAATTACTATTTTTTATTCGAACAATACTTTATTTGAATGGGCTTTGTGTGTGTTTTGTCACTTATGTCCAGTGTTGGGATATTTTTTGATATTGGTTTCTGGTTCCTTTATTTTATTTATGGGCAAAGACATGAGAAAAAAGGTAACTATTTGTACTTTGATCTTTTGCACGTTTCTCCGACTGAAATATTTTTCGTGTGGAGTGCTTTCACCTCATGTGTTTCCAGTTGAGTTTGAACTGTTAATTATAAAATGTTGTTTTTGGATCAGATTAAAGTTTCTCTTGCTTAAGTTTCACAAAAGATGTAAAATTTATGTTTAAGTAGCTAAAACTCTAAGTTTTCTTAAGTTTGTATGTTGGAAGGATTCAATTCCATCTAATTTTGTAATTTTCTTTATTTTTAAAAATTATTTAATATGGTAACAAATAAATATTCTAGCGCAACAATGTGAAAGAAATCGATGATAAATTATATACAAAAATCTGCAAATCTTGGGACCGTGAAAATGTCACAACCCTTTTGTGGAGACTCCATTTTACTTAAAGTCTTATTTTGATATTTGTTTAATTTTTGATATTTCTGTTATTAGCATAATTAAGAAATTTTGAGAATTTCTTTTTTTGGTATATATGTCTAAGCACTTTTTTAAAGTTGATTACCCCGAAACAGTTTTGATTGTTCAAAAGGAGCAAACTACAAAAGTTAATGCAGTTTTCTTATCTAACAATAAATATAACACACTTTTAAAGAGAGTTTTAAGTTTGAAATGTGTATTTATCTTTTTTCTCAATCTCAAAAGATATAGAGTCATAAAAAGTATGAAGAGTACGTAATATGAAAAAAAATTATAAGGAGAAAAAAAATAAACCGTAAAAAAAAAAGAAGACGAAGAAGACGAATATGTTAAATAATAAAAAAAAAGATGTGAATGATAAATTTGAATAAGAAATATGGGAAGAAGAAAAAAAATGAAGAATAAGACATGAAAAAAAAACAAGAAAAAATATGGACAAAAGAAGAATAAGGAAAAAATGATGAAGAAGAAAGAAAATAAATAATGAAGAGGAAAAAATAGGAAACGAAAAACTAGAATTTATCTTAATTAAATTAGTTTGTGGACTATTCAGTTATAAAGTATTTTTTAAGTAATTAATTTTGAATTTTGTTTATTTTTTAGTTAACTTTATTTTGATTTTTTATGTTTTAAATAGTTGTTTTAATTATTTTCAATTTATAGCATTAATTTTTATTTTTTTGTTTTTAAAACTTTTGGCCCGCGCAAATTGCGGGCTAAATACCTAGTTTTTAATAATAGTAGATTTGAAAGTTTATTAACAAATCACTAATTTAATAACATAAATCTTTTAAAAATTTATATTTGAATAATTATTTGTTACAAATCATATGATAAATTGAATACATTTTTTTAATCTTTTGCAACATATATATTATCGTCCAAAAATAACCAAAAAATTTAAATTAAAACTAAAATTCAAACATTATTTAAAAAAAATCTAAGCATGTTGCGTACGTACTTACTTCTAGTTATTACTGAAAGCAAGCTTCCTTCTCAAGTTAAATACTGCTTTTCCTATTTCAATTTTGGGAGTATTAAGGAAAAAATAAAGATTTAAACTTTAACTATGAAAAAAAATTGTCAGTTTTTATAATGTTAATGGAAGATTTCTAATTCTCTGTGATTTTGTTTTAATTTTGCTAGTTATTAAAAAAAGGTAAATGATCTTCTTCCCATTTCAATTGTGGGAGTATTAAGGGAAAACTAAAGATTTAGACTTTAACTATTAAAAATAAAAATTGTTGAACATGAAGATTTCTATAATGGTAATGGAAGATATTTTGTTTTAAATACTGCTAGTTGTTAAAAAAAAAAGTAAATGATTTTCTTCCCATTTCAATTTTGGGAGTATTAAAGAAAAACTAGAGATTTAGACAATTCCAATAATATTAATGGAAGACTTTCTTTTTTTATGTATTTTTTCTTTCTTCGTATGGTAGGCCTCCTATATATATACACACATAAGAAGACAGAGAAATTTACAAAGCATTCTTCTACTTTCAAAACCATCTTCCATTAAAAAAATTTTAGCAAGATGAATTATTATTGTGAGTTTCCTATAGACCCGGCTATGATCATATCAAAGAAGCTATCAAAAAGTGATATTACTGGTAATATGAAACTACCGAAAAGATAAATAATGTCTGTTCTCAAGAAGATGGAAGACGTTACAGATGAGACTTTAAAAAACGGCATCGAAGTGAAAGTCCTCGACCTGGCGGAAGCAGATCCCGACACTAACTACAAAGGCGATGAGTACACAGTTACTCTGAGATGTGCTGACGATGATAAATTTTATTTCGGTGATGGTTGGAATACTATAAAATATTCGATGGATCTCAACGAAAGTGAAATTCTGAAGCTTTATTTGGATTACTTACAGGGAACATTCATTGCTCTCAATATTCCTTATTTAGTTATGGAAGAATGATGTAGCTCAATTACATCTATATTTTCCTTTATGCTTTTCCTATGTTTTACCTTATGTTTTAGATTTTATTTTTAGTTAAATGTTGTTTTTTTTCCCCTAGTTTGATGTTTTCTGATCTACCAATAATAACAATATTTAATTATAGATTAATGATTTGATTTGATTATTAAATTGAAGTGTTGTTTTACTTTTTCCCTAATTTGTTTTCTGGTTTTTTTTTCATATATACTTACGTGCATAGCACGGGAACATCTTTGCTTACATAAAACTATAAAAGTCCAAACTTCAGTTATATACATAACTAAAAATCACATGTCTAAAGGTATAACTTCAATTTATGAGAATGAAATCAATAAGTTTATACACGACCCCTAAATCTAAATGGCATTAAAAGATTCAAGTTGCAGAGAATGAGTAAAAGGAAAAACATGTGTGGGCCGATACTGGGCCTTGTAGTATCTAAAAACCAACGAGACGGCCCGTTTTTAGGGAAAGCGCATATAGGATTCTGATTTATGAAGCTAAATCGTCGGTCGATCTCAATCGTTGAATTTGCTAAGATCCTGAGTGAGTTTGAAGATGGTGTTGATCGAAAGCGAGAGCGATGAAGAAATCTCCGTTAAAGAAGAACCAAATCCGTCGCGTGATTCCTCGTCGCAGCCCGAAGCAACGGAGGCGAAATTTGCCGGCGGAGATGATTCCGATGGATTCGAAACTGCCAGCGAACGTGAAATGAGCGATAACGAAGAAGAAGATGAAAGTAGTGTTAGGGAACAAGTCGCTGTATCGAACAAGGAATCGCAAGATGCCATCAGCGATTGCCGATCAAAACAGGTACAAAATCTACATAGTCGTCTCTCTGTAATTTCGATCGAGTAATGGCTACTGATATCTGACTTTTCTTCAATGTTTTTCGAGCTTAGTAGCATAGTTTTCGATTTCCATATGAATTCGATTTCAATTCTAATTGATTTAGCTTGAATCTATATCATTTGTTAACATTTATAACTTCTACACTTGTTTTTTTGGTCGGAAGAAGAAAGACTTGGAAGACGCAAATGAAGCTAAAGTGGAAGGAAATAAACTATTTGGTAATGGTCTTTACGAAGATGCATTATCAAAATATGAGCTTGCTCTACAGGTTGCTCAGGATTTTCCTGAATCTTTGGAGCTTCGATCAATTTGCCATTCAAACAGAGCTATATGTTATCTCAAATTGGTTAGTATCTTCTTTTAGCAATGATATTAGATTCTTTTGTTATTTAGTAATAGTCAAGATTTGCTGATGTGATCTCTGTAATGTTTTCACAGGGGAAATATGAAGAAGCAATCAAGGAATGCACAAAAGCAATAGAGCTGAATCCAAATTACACCAAAGCTTTTGTCCGTCGAGCAGAAGCTCATGAGAAGCTTGAACACTTTGAAGAAGCCCTCACAGGTGAGTCTTTGGCACGCATTTCACAGTTTTCTCATTATTCTCTTGTTGAAGAGGAGATCGATGATGCTTGTTACTCTCTACATATTACAGACTTGAAGAAGATATTAGAACTAGACCCTTCAAACGATCAGGCTAGAAAAGGGATTCGGCGTTTGGAACCCTTGGCGGCTGAAAAGCGAGAAAAGATGAAAGAAGAAGCCATAGGTAAAAGACCTTGTTGTTTATGTTTCTGATTAAGAGTATTATTGATTCTTGAGTCTTGATCCAATCCTTGACGATGTAAAATTATGTTTTTCTTTTGTGATTTTTACAGCAAAGTTGAAGGAGATGGGGAACTCGATCTTGGGTAAATTTGGGATGAGTGTAGACAACTTCAAGGCTGTTAAAGATCCAAACACTGGCTCTTACTCTTTTTCTTTCCAAAATTAGTCAACCACATTCTCATGTTTCTGCATCAACCATTTCATGTTCATCGTGGTAATATCAAGTTCGTTTTGTTGTTGAAAGCTGCATTGTTATGCTTCTGTAAATTCTTTGTTACGGTGAAGAAAATTTTCCCCTTTTGAATGGTTCTTTCTTAGTTTCTTTGGATGTCAATAAAAAAAAAAGAAGGGTTCTTTCTTTGTGAATTGTGATGAAACTTATATGATTGGGCTTTTAAAGTTATTGGGCTTTAAAAACATGATTGGGCTTTAAAGTTATTGGGCTTTAAAAACATGATTGGGCTTACGGGTGGAGCAAAACAACGAAGACAAAAGCTCTTCTAGACTTCCAAAAACCGAAACTTTAGGTTTTTTTCGCAAGTCTCTGTGCGCAGTGCAAACTCGTTCTTCTTCTGGCCGAGAAACTAAAACCCTAAGCTCGATTTCGATTCTGCAACTATGAGTCGTTCAGGTCAGCCTCCGGATCTCAAGAAGTAAGTCTTTCTTCTGAGTATTTTGTCTTTGTTTTGATTCTGTTTTCATATCTTCGCGTTCCTGATTTTTTTTGTTTGTTGTTTTGTCGTCGGATGCAGGTACATGGATAAGAAACTCCAAAGTAAGTTCAATCTCTTCATTCTCGCTTATCGATTTAGGGTTTTGATCTAATCTTCTTTGAAATTTGAATTGATTGCAACTTTCACTCATATCGCTGTGGATAGAGAGAGAGAGGAGCAAGATAATGTGTCTCTGAGCAATATTTTCCTATTAGGAATCCTTTTTCTAAAGCTGCTAATTGTTACATAATGTATACATTGAATAAATTTGGTCTGATTCTCAAGATTTTGGTTTACTTGAACAAATTTCGTACTGTTGGTGTGTTTGCCATGTTCCTGGAGTATAGATTTCTTGACTCTTATTCTGATTTTACTTTGACAAAGACTAGGATAAGTATTCTTCATCATCAGTTTATCACCTTCTTTTGGGGTCCTGAAGCTGATCAATTGGTATTTTAAATGCAGTCAAACTTAATGCAAACCGGATGGTTGTTGGAACTCTTCGTGGTTTCGACCAGTTCATGAATCTCGTTGTGGATAACACCGTGGAGGTGAACGGTAATGACAAAACAGACATTGGGATGGTGGTAAGTCTTTTGATATTATGTACGAGAATATCTTTTGTCTTCAATCATTTGTTGCTCCTATATTGATGTTTGTTTTGGTCTGGTCCAGGTGATTAGAGGAAACAGCATTGTCACCGTTGAAGCTCTTGAACCAGTGGGTAGATCTTCTTAGCTCCGGTTATATGCATCAGTAATCACCTCTTTTGTACTAAGGACTAGTTTTTATGCTCTGTTTGAGAAACTGGGTGGTAGATTCGCTGTTATTATGAACTGATCCAGTAAGAAGTCTTCATGAATACTCTTTCTTGTACTAAAAGATTGCGATGAACCCCAAGGAATGTGATGGATAGGCGAATTTCTTTTTTATCTTTCTTGAGCATTAATTTGGGGAACTTTTGAAAATACCTAACGTTGTTGTTTCTTTGATGATATGTACCGAAATATCTTGGGCAGATTTAGAATATTGTAGCTATGATTACTTTGGTTAATAACAGAACTTGAATCATACGAAAGAATTGATAGGTTTGTAAACTACAAAAGAAATGCGAATTTTTGTTACTACCGAATGTTTTGGGGTGCTTTTGTAAAGGCAGAAGATGTTGGCCAGTTTTGAAGTTACTAAATTATTCAGTGTAATTTTATAGATAATAAAACATCGTGAGGTATTGTATTTGTAAATACCAAAATTTGTGCTGCTTTGGTAAAGTATGCACGCAAGACGCAAATGTCTGAGGTTGTTTTGTAAAATATAGAAGATTGGGGGCAGATTCGAAGGTACAAAAGATTTGGGCAAAAACAAAAGCGCAAACGTAGTTTACCAAAAAAACGGAAAGATAAGGGGAACTTTGAAAATACCAAAAGATCAGTGTTAATTGTCGGAAGCGAAACCGATGAACAATACCGTCTGCTTCGCCGGAAAATAACCCAGGCGATTAAGAATGGCGAATCAAGGAGCGAGAAAGGAAGAGACCGCTCGACACATGGCCAAGCTCCGTCGTCTCATCATCACTGCTTACAATATACTTCCTCTTCCATCTATGCGTTTCCAGGTTTCTCTGATTCTCCTGATTCTTCAATACTTAAAACATATATTGAGAAAATTTGGATTACACGAGGAAAGTATTAAGCTTTACAATGTCTCTGTGCGATTTCTCTTCAGGACAAGAACAAGATGAGTGGTTTGTTTCAGAACACGAACATGTAATTTGGGGAACGTTTCTTTCTTCAAATATACAAATACATTCATCAGGTATCAAAATCTCTCTGCAATCTGTGTAGTAAGTTGTTTTTGTTGGGCCAAAATTATTGAGCCCATTAAGGTTGAAGATGAAATGAAGTGTGATGTAAGTGGTTTTGTCCCACATCGGTGGATTAGTGGGAAAATCTGTAGTATATATTAAGATATGCTTTATACATGTTCAAAACATGTGAGAGAGAAAAGAATAAGTTCCACGTGCGCACCGCTGCCGCCAAGCCGGGGGTGGGTCGTGTTGGTCGTGTTGGTCGAATGGGCCTAAGCCGAGTATTTTTTTAGGGCCATATTTTTATGGGCGTTTTGGTCAACGTTTTATGTTGACTTTCTGTATATGTTTTGATTCAGTTAAAGAGAATATTGGATATTCATTATCCCTTTAAAAACGTATCAGATTGTGATTAATCACAGATTGCTGATTTCTCGCCTTTGACTACGCTAAATTTATGGCCGAGATTCGTGTTGACTAGCGGATTTCTTGGGATTTTTTGAGACTGCTCAAGTCTCTTCCTCCGCTATATATACACGACTTTTCTCTCATTTTTTAGTTTTTACACCTCTCATTTTTCCTCTCAGAAATTCTCTCAACAGTCTCCCTCTCTCTCTTTTATTTTTCGTAAGTCTTCTACCGAGAGTATAGTAGAATTATAGTTCGTTTAGATCTGTGTTTCTTAGTGCTGTTGAAAACGGATAAGTTTGGTTGTATCCTGCGACTCTTGAATTACAGAAACCCGTCGCACTACGGGCAATTCAAAGAGTTAAAGAAAGAGATCATACTCTCGCCTCCATTCGTTTATATTTTCCTTAACGTTTATTTTTTAAAACTCGTATTTCAATTGCTATTTCTTAGTGTTCAATATTTATGGTTATACACACTTAACTCTTTGAATCCGTTCTTGTTCTACAAACATTGAACGGATTGGATACGAGTATTTTTCTTTAAACGTTTTTTTTTATTGCTCTCCATCTCTAATCGTAACCCACCTGTGATCGAACTCTCATTGGAGGTTTGAAATAAAATAAAAAAAAACCGCATGGTTGTGGTGCTTATCGATCTTACATGATAGCGATTTGAGTTGGATTTTTTTTTTAAATATCATATAATATTTTAAATTGAATTTCTTAAATTCGTTTCTACTCTGAAAAGTGTGATTAGTATACATATTATATTTTAAATTTTGTATACTTCTTAAAATCATTTCTAATCTGCGGATTGTGTTTCTTTTCAGAAATGGAAAACAAAACTCTCAATGTCTCCTCAGTTGATCAGACTACCACTGTTGGGACTGAACAGATCCTTTTTGGGACTGAACAGATCCAGTTTGGGACTTTCCCACCAGTGACCGTGGCTATCCCACCTCCGATCTCTGCTACTGTCCAAACTGCGGTCACTGGACAGTATCAATCGGTTCAGATGCCAGCTGTAACTCCAGTAGCTGTCCTTCCCGACAAATTCGATGGCAGCAACTTTAAGATGTGGCAGAAGAAGATGTTCGTCTATCTGGCCACACTAAAGCTGGAAAAATACACCCGTGAAGAGAAACCTATTCTCTCATCAGATAATGATGATGCTTATGCACTTGCGAGCAAGTTAGCATGGGAACACGGGGACTTCTTGTGCAAAGGATACATTCAGAGTCGCTTGCTGATGCACTTTTCAATGTGTATAGCAATGTTGAGACGTCTAAAGAACTATGGGATTCTCTAGACAAGAAGTACCGCACGGAAGATGCTGGATCTCAGAAATATGCTGTGGCGAAATTTCTAGATTACAAAATGGTGGATTCCAGACCAATAATGGATCAAGTGGGAGAAGTACAAACTCTACTCCATGAAATCCATGCTGAGGGGATGAGGTTGTGTGAGACCTTTCAGGTCGCATGCATCATTGAGAAGCTTCCACCTAACTGGACGATCTTCAAAAACTATCTGAAGCTGAAGAAAAAGTGGATGAGTCTTGAAGATCTAACCATGAAACTCCGTATGGAGTCAACAAACCGAAAGAATCTCGGAGTAGGTGTGGAAATTCGCGAACCCAATGCGAATGTGGTGGAACACCAACACAAAGGGCGCCAGAACAAAGGACGCCAAGATAAAGGAAAGAGCAAAGTACCACCACAGAACTCACAGAAGTTTAAAAAGAAGAAATCTGGTGGTGGTGAAAGCTCACAAAAGTTCGCTGGAACATGTCACAATTGTGGCAAAACAGGCCACAAATCCTTTGAGTGTCGCAGCAAAAAGGCTCCAAAGAAGAATGAAGCAAATATGGCCTATCCAGACATGTGTGCAATGATCACTGAGGCAAATGTTGCTGAGAGTCATCCCAAGACTTGGTGGTTCGATACTGGTGCAACCAGGCACATTTGCTTGGACAGGTCAATGTTTTCCGCCTACACCAAGAATAAGAGTGACGAAAAACTCTTTATGGGAAACTCTGCAACATCAAAGATTGAAGGTTATGGGAAAGTTGTTCTGAAGCTTACCTCTGGACGTGAGCTCACCCTGACAAATGTGGTCCATGTGCCTGACATGCGCAAGAATTTGATCTCTGGATCTCTCATGAGTAAGCATGGATTTACCATTAAGTTAGATGTGGATAAGCTGGTGCTATCCAAGAATGGGATGTATCTGAGGAAAGGGTATGTTACTGATGGTCTCTTTAAGATGTGTGTTGAAGCTGTTATTCGCAGCGATGTTGTAACCGAGGCTTCCACCTCGAAGATTAATGAGAATAAGAAACCAGTTGCTTATTTGTCTGAGTCTTTTACTTTATGGCATGAACGTTTAGGACATGTAACTTCAAAACTATGAGTAGATTGATGAACATGAATATGATTCCTAAACACAAAATAAGTAAAGACAAATGTGAGATTTGTGTTCAAGCTAAACTCACTAAAACACCATCACCTAATGTGGAAAGAACAACTGAACCTCTAAGTTTAATTCACACTGATTTATGTGACTTAAAATATGTGCAAAGTAGAGGTGGAAAGAAGTATTTTGTAACCTTCATAGATGATTGCACAAGATATTGCTACGTATATCTACTAAGCAGTAAAAATGAAGCTTTCAAAGAATATAAGTTGGAAGTGGAAAACCAACTTAACAAAACTATTAAAATAGTTCGAAGTGATAGAGGAGGAGAATATGATGAACCTTTTAATGCGTTCTGTAGGGAACATGACATTATCATCAAACTACCGCTCCTTATTCACCAGAGTCTAACGGAGTTGCAGAACGAAAAAATAGAACTTTAAAAGAAATGATGAATGCAATGTTGCAGGAATCTGGGTTACCCCAGAACATGTGGGGGGAAGCTTTGCTTACCACAAATTATATCCTCAACAAAATACCACATAAAGTTACGGGAAAAACCCCATATGAACTTTGGAAGGGAAGAGTACCTTCGTATAAATACTTAAAAGTGTGGGGGTGTCTGGCAAAAGTTGCAGCTCCACCTCCGAAAAAGGTCACAATTGGACCTAAAACGGTAGATTGCATTTTCATCGGATATGCTCATAATAGTAGTGCCTATCGATTTCTGATACATAAATCAGATATACCAGATATTCATGTGAATACATAATGGAGTCAAGAAATGCTTCATTCTTTGAGAATGTGTTTCCATGCAAGGATAGAGAAAGCAATAAACGATCTCGTGATCAACGAGATGCCTCTACTTCTGGAAATGAAGCAAGCACTTCGGGCACTGCTATTAATGACAAGGAAAAAGAAGAAGAACCTAGACGGAGTAAAAGAACTCGTAAGGAAAAAAACATTTGGTTCTGAGTTCTTAGTAGTTTTCTTAGCTGAAAATGAACCAAGAACCTTTACAGAAGCAATGTCAACGCCAGATGGTCCTCTTTGGAAGGAAGCTGTCAATAGTGAGATGGACTCAATTAGACTAAATCACACTTACGAGATAACCAATCTACCACAAGGGTTTAAAGCTCTAGGGTGTAGATGGATTTTCAAAACAAAGTTGAAAACCGATGGATCAATAGACAAATACAAGGCTAGGCTTGTAGTGCAAGGATTTAGACAAAAAGAAGGTCTAGATTTCTTTGACACATATTCTCCGGTAACGAGAATAACTTCAATCAGAATGCTGATCGGAATTGCAGCACTGAGAGATCTAGAAATCCATCAAATGGATGTTAAAACCGCATTTCTAAATGGTGATTTAGAAGAGGAAATTTACATGAAACAACCTGAAGGGTTTGTTGTCCCAGGACAAGAAAACAAAGTTTGTAGACTTGTTAAATCATTGTATGGACTCAAACAAGCTCCAAAACAATGGCATAAAAAATTTGACAATGTAATGATGTCAAATGGTTTCAGCATTAACGAATGTGATAAATGTATATACATCAAAAATACTCCTCACGGGTATGTTTTGCTCTGCTTATACGTGGATGACATGCTCATTATTGGGAGCAATAAAGACATGATCAATCAAACTAAAAATTTGCTCAGTAGCAAGTTCGATATGAGACATGGGATTAGCCGATGTGATTCTAGGAATTAGAATTATAAGACACTCGGATGGAATAATCTTGTCCCAAGAACATTATGCTAAAAAAATATTTGAGCGGTTTAAGAACTACTCAAATGGAGTTGCAAAAACTCCAGCTGACCCTCATATTCACTTGACGAAAAATTCGGGTGAAATCAGTGTCACAAGTGGAATATGCAAGAGTAATCGGAAGTCTTATGTACTTAACAAACTGCACTAGACCCGATTTAGCGTACTCAGTAAATGTACTTAGTCGCTATACAAGTAATCCAGGCCATATCACTAGAAGGCCATAACTAGAGTATTGAATTATCTTCGATACACCAAAAGTTATGGGTTGCACTACGGTAAAGAACCAGCAGTCCTAGAAGGCTATAGTGATGCCAACTGGATTTCAGATTCTAAGAATTCGAAATCGACGAGTGGATATGTCTTTACACTTGGAGGTGCAGCAGTATCCTGGAAATCTTCCAAACAGACTCTGTTGGCCAGATCAACCATGGAATCTGAGTTTATAGCGCTAGACAAGGCCGCAGAGGAAGCAGAGTGGCTTCAAAATTTTTTGGAAGATATCCCTATGTGGGAAAAGCCAGTGCCCGCATTACGTGTACATTGTGATAGTAAGTCGGCTATATCTCGGGCACTGAATAAGCTTTATAATGGTAAATCTCGTCATATTAGAAGACGACACAAAACCATTAGACATTTGATCTCGACTGGTGTACTAACGATAGATTACATCAAATCAGCTGAAAACTTAGCAGACCCTTTTACGAAAAGTTTGGCACGAGATATAGTTGTTAAATCATCAAGAGGTATGGGTTTAAAGCCTATAGATAAAAGTGACGCATGATGGTAACCCCAACTATGTGACTGGAGATCCCAAGATCTAGGTTCAAAGGGAAAACGAAATCAAGCAGATTCAGAAGTGAGCACTGTGAAACTATGTTCATTCCCAGTTCCTAAGATGATAAACAGTGCTACCTGTGAGTGTTAAGGCTAAGCTGTAGCTTTTAATGATTCCATAGTTTTGAGATATTCGTGAAGTATTACAAGTTACTTCTTAGAAAACGAAACTAATGGCAGATCACCTAATGAGTGTGAAATGGGGCCGTTTCTAGGAGAATGAAAGGAAGGCTATATTCTCCAAGTTCACTCATGAAACCAGGAATGTTCAAGGCCAAAATGAACACAATAGAGAACTCAAGTCCTACGAGAAAATGTTGCTGCGCGATAACTGTTGTCTCGGTTTACATCAAAGTCTGGGTGGTTCAAGACATCATGTACACCTCCTGGCCGAGTAAACCCGACAGATATTAAAAATGATTGGTTCAAAGCTGAAAAATGCCACCTCTCAGATACAGTTGCATTTTCGCATACTCTCGGAAGTCTGTCTAGCCTAGTCAGAGTCGTGTCTAGTCTAGTCGAGTTAAGTTTTATCGAGTCAATGGATTATTCATATGTTTAGAGTCATTTCTCTTCATGTGGGGGACTGTTGGGCCAAAATTATTGAGTCCATTAAGGGTGAAGATGAAATGAAGTGTGTTGTAAGTGGTTTTGTCCCACATCGGTGGATTAGTGGAAAAATCTGTAGTATATATTAAGATATGTTTTATACATGTTCAAAACATGTGAGAGAGAAAAGAATAAGCCCCACGCGCGCGCCGCCGCCGCCGCCAAGCCAAGCCGGGCCGGGCCGGGCACGGGCGTGTTGGTCGAATGGGCCTTCGGGCCTAAGGCGAGTATTCTTTTTGGGCCATATTTTTATGGGCGTTTTGGTCAACGTTTTATGTTGACTTTCTGCATATGTTTTGATTCAATTAAAGAGAATATTGGATATTCATTATCCCTTCAAAAAAGTATCAGATTGTGATTAATCACAGATTGCTGATTTCTCGCCTTTGACTACGCTAAATTTATGGCCGAGATTCGTGTTGACTAGCGGATTTCTTGGGATTTTTTGAGACTGCTCAAGTCTCTTCCTCCGCTATATATACACGACTTTTCTCTCATTTTTTAGTTTTTACACCTCTCTTTTTTCCTCTCAGAAATTCTCTCAACAGTCTCCCTCTCTCTCTTTTATTTTTCGTAAGTCTTCTACCGAGAGTATAGTAGAATTATAGTTCGTTTAGATCTGTGTTTCTTAGTGCTGTTGAAAACGGATAAGTTTGGTTGTATCCTGCGACTCTTGAATTACAGAAACCCGTCGCATTACGGGCAATTCAAAGAGTTAAGGAAAGAGATCATACTCTCACCTCCATTCGTTTATATTTTCCTTAACGTTTACTTTTTAAAACTCGTATTTCAATTGCTATTTCATAGAGTTCAATATTTATGGTTATACAGTTTTGCTCCAACACTAATCCCTTAAAGATTCATGTAGTAGATACCGTTCTCTATCTTGATCGGTGTTGGATTGCCGAGAATATCTGCGTCCTCTCCAAGAACCAGCTGATTGTAACCGTAGTTTCTGAAATTATTTTACTGTTGATTTTTAGTTATGTATATAACTGAAGTTTGGACTTTTTCTAGTTTTATGTAAGCAAAGATGTTCCCGTGCATAGCACGTTAGTATATATGAGAAAAAACCAGAAAACAAACTAGGGAAAAAGTAAAACAACACTTGACTAAAATATAAAATCCAAAACATGAAGTAGAAATAGGAAAAGCGAGCTACATCATCAAATTAAATCATTAATCCATAATTAAAGATTGTTATTATTGGTAAATTAGAAAAGACTAAACTAGGAAAAAAAAACATTAAACTTATTGGGAGATCGATGAGATCGACCATACTGATAAGGATCCAGAAGATTATGGAAAATCTTAGTTTAGGAAATTTACCTTTATCTCTAAATATATTATTTACATTTATGTTTATCTTAAATTAGGAAAGTTAGGTTTAGCTTATCTCTATATAAGAGAATGCATCTTGTAATATTATTCTTATGAGAGTCTAATATAATTCTTCCTAAACACTTTTGTGTTCTTATTCTCATCAATTTATCATGGTATCAGAGCCTAGATCCAATTCCCATGAATTGTGGTTTTTGTTTTTCCTTCTATCTTCTTCACGTATGTGGTGGTGCTGAAGACACCAAAGTTGAAGTCTGTTTGTGGCTTATTTTATTATTTCGGCCAATAAATGGTCATGTCAAGGCAACTTGAATTTTTAATTGGCTAGCACAATTGCTAGTTTTTTTGGAGAACACGTTCTGAAGATGGTGTTTCTCTTTATGATTTCATGATCCCATATATTACATGTATGGCGATTTTTTATGAGCATGGACCTTTGATTTTGGTTCGTTCATATTTGATGATGTTTTCTGCCCTCGCAAAGACATTCTTTTGATTCAACTTCTTTTACTCGTGAGTTGTTATTTCGCAATCGCGAATTATTTTTGGACATCACAATTGCGAGTTTTGTCCTTTCTACTATTTGAAGAACCCTACGACCGGGTATAAACATCGTTAATGACCTAACGGCTGGGTGTTGAAGCCAATTGACTCGACGGTGGAGTATAACACCGATATTTTGAAGACATGTCCAATCTCATACGTGTTACCACATATGAGCTTGCGGGAGGGTATTGGGAGATCGATGAGATCGACCATACTGATAAGGATCCAGAAGATTATGGAAGATCTTAGTTTAGGAAATTGACCTTTATCTCTAAATATATTATTTATATTTATGTTTATCTTAAATTAGGAAAGTTAGGTTTAGCTTATCTCTATATAAGAGAATGCATCTTGTAATATTATTCTTATGAGAGTCTAATATAATTCTTCCTAAACACTTTTGTGTTCTTATTCTCATCAATTTATCAAAACTAGAAATAAAAACCAAAACATAAGGTAAAACATATGAAAAGCAAGGAAAATATAGATGTAATCAAGTTACATCATTCTTCTTCCATAACTAAATATGGAATATTGAGAACAATGAATATTCCCTGTAAGTAATCCCAATAGAGCTTCAGAGTTTCGCCTTCGTTGAGATCCATCGAATACTTCATAGTACTCCAACCATCACCGAAATAAAATTTATCGTTGTCAACACCTCTCAGAGTAACTGTGTACTCATCGCCTTTGTAGTTAGTGTCGGGGTTTGCTTCTGCCAGATCGAGGACTTTCACTTCGATACCGTTTAGCAAAGTCTCATCTGTAACGCCTTCCATCTTCTTGAAAACAGACATTACTTGCTTTTTCGGTAGTTTCACATTACCAATAAGATCACTCTTTGATAGCTTTTTTAATATGATCATAGCCGGATCAACTGGAAACTCACAGTAATAATTCATCTTGCTAAAATTTTTAAACAGAATATGGTTTTGAAAGTAGAAAAATGCTTTGTAAATTTCTCTGCATTCTTATGGATATATATATAGGAAGCATACATTAAGAAAAAAGGTAAAATACAAAGAAAAAGAAAATTGGAGAAAACTAGAACTCTTCCATTAATATTATAGAAATTGTCTAAATCTCTATTTTTTGCTTAATACTACTGAAATTGAAATGGGAAGAACAGCATTTACTTTTTTCTCACAATCATCAGTATATTCACGCAGACGCAAATGTCTGAGGTTGTTTTGTAAAATATAAAAGATTGGGGGCTTTCGAAGGTATAAAAGATTTGGGCAAAAACAAAAAAAGCGCAAACGTATAGTTTACCAAAAACATAAAGATAAGGGTAACTTTGCAAATACCAAAAGATCAGTGTTAATCGCCTGGTTATTTTCCGGCGAAGCAGACGGTATTGTTTATCGGTTTGTTCGCCGGAAAATAACCAGACGATTAAGAATGGCGAATCAAGGAGCGAGAAAAGAAGAGATCGCTCGACACATGGCCAAGCTCCGTCGTCTCATCATCACTGCTTGCAATGTACTTCCTCTTCCATCTATGCGTCTCCAGGTTTCTCTGATTCTCGCGATTCTTCAATACTTAAAACATAAATTGAGAAAATTTGGATTACACAAGGAAAGTATTAAGCTTTAAAATGTCTCTGTGCCTTAAATTAGAGAAGATGAGAAAACTTCAGGACAAGAACAAGATGAATAGCTTGTTTTGTTCCACAAAATGTAATTTGGGGAACGTTTCTTTCTTCACATATACAAATACATTCAACAGTTTACATCATCTCTCTCTCTACACTCTGTGCATTCAATAGTTATAACTCACGATTGGGAATAGTCATCAAGTAAAACACAAGGAAAGTATTAAGCTTTACAATGTCTCTGCGCCTTTGATTAAGGAAGATGAGAAATACACAAGGAAAGTATTAAGCTTTACAATGTCTCTGTGCCTGTAATTAGGGAAGATGAGAAATCTTCAGGACAAGAACAAGATGATGGCTTGTTCTGTTCCACAACATGTAATTTAGGGGAACGTTTCTTACTTCACATATACAAATACATTCAACAGGTAACAACATCTCTTTTTACACTCTGTGCATTCAATAATTATTTACTCACGATTGAGAATAGTCATCGAGCAAAACGCAGTCGATTCTCTGGAGATAAACGTTTCTCTCTTTGAGGTCATAAGCAATGTTATAGTATTGTTGAGCCATTAGTCCAATAGCTGTGAAATCTCTATACCCTACTCCATGTACCGTGGTTGGCCTCACCGCCATACAAAACACGTTTTCCGATTCCAGCATCGTATAAAACATGCTGCTTGCCTCCATAGCCAGCTCTGCTCCTCCGGAGAAACGAAACGTCACCACAGGGAAGCCTATAAGCTCCTCGCTCACTCTCCCATGGTAACACAACATGTCCCTAAACCAGAATCTCTCCAGCTGCGTGTCAAGAATCGATTTTACTTCGTTGTGTAGCTCTCTGTACGCTGCTTCTGCTAGCCAAGTGTAGAGTGTTCCTGAGTCGAGTATCACTCCTGTTCTTGGCCCTCTCCTGCTGAACAACACTGGTTCGATATTAAGCTGTTTTGCTCCAACACTAATCCCTTCAAGATTCATGTAGTAGATACCGTTCTCTATCTTGATCGGTGTTGGATCGCCGAGAATGTCTGCGTCCTCTCCAAGAACCAGCTGATTGTAACCGTAGTTTCTGTTAGTTAAGTCACCGATGCAGTATGAAAATTTAGACCCGAGTTGGACCGCAAGTGATGTTGGTTGAGCTCCTAAACCCAAAATACCAGTGAAGTCACTCTCAGATTGCTCTCCGTTCTCATGGCCACACCCAAAAGGAACGGGTCGGGTCAGGACAGTGTTTCCGTTTGGTGTTGTGAACGTTAACTGTTCTTTAGCAAGAACGCCTTTTGAGCCGCCTCCGTTTATGTACACTTGATCGTAGAGGCACCTGTTTGCGCTGCATTGTGTGTTTGGTGCATACTTGCAAAATGGATCGCTACAAGAACACTCTGCATATGTTGAGGACAATGCTGGGTTGAAGGTAGGATGATGAGTGGAAGAGGAATGTTTGCAGGGAAGACATTTGATCCACAAAAGTGAGCTTCCTGTGTCCATGATTGTGAACTGTGGTATTGGAGGCTGTCCTATCGAGAAGTTCACGAAAAACATCGATGTCTTGATCGCTTGTTGCACGTTTACTTGGAAATCACTGTTGCTTAGCTCTCTATGATCAATTGAGTTCCGTAGATGCATAAACCGAGCTGATGAAATATCTGTCAGGTGTTTGATACGGTCTTGTGGAGTGAGAGGAAGAACTTGAGCCTTTTGGTGGAGATGGGGAATAGATTCACGGTGTATCAGCTTCATAGCTATTCGGTTAGATTTTTTTAAGGATTCAGTAACTATGAAGAAGGAGACAATGGTGAAGAGTAATAAGAGTGATGCTTGATAAACACATGCCATTGTGACAGGGACATGGACTTGAATGCTCATATCAAGAAGAGTCACAGAGACCATTTTGTAACACAAATGAAAGATTAAGATAGGGTCATAGCATCAAGACTGTGATAAAAATAATAATAGAGCAAAGCATAACGAATTGATGACACCATTAGAAGAAATATTAATAAAGATGAACAACCAAAGATCATGAGACTATAAATAAGAATAAGTTTGTTGGGGTTTGAATATATAAAATCTATCATGTACTTCAACATCTTTACTAGTGAGATTTCTTCATCTAACACATTTTCTTGTGTTTTTGTAACATATTTGGAGTTTAGACAGATAACTTTAACAAAATTATATTAATATCGATTTGAGGTGAATCATGCATCAGATTGAAACTAAAAATAAAAACACAAAAAACTAGAGAAGTACAAGTCAAGATATCATTAAACTGTTGGTCTCTGAATTTGAAAATTACAGATGAAGGTCAATGTTTGACCAAACATTGCTTTCACAGGACCACAAGCTTTTTAAGACAATTATGATAACAAAATAAAATCTCTAATGAGACCAGGACTAAAACATAATTTGAGAAAATATCTTCCAACAAAAGAAAAAGTGCTAATATATACATCCAAAATAGTAAACATTAGAGCCAGAATCTCAATTTCCATAGAGTTAATCACCAATTTACAATGTCTATAGTATCTCCAAAAAACTTGAAGTCATCTTTATCATCAAATCTTTCTCTTCTCCCTCTTTGTTGAAGATTTGTAGTTACCTTGGACCAGATAGTTCCATGGCAAATGAATCTAACGCATGATTGTCATCATCATCATCGAATCCTGACGATCCAAACAGATGTTTGGTTTGGTTGTTGCCATTAGCATCAGTAGAGGTAATACTTCTGTAAGAGATGTTGGCATGGTAGAAATGTGAATGGTTATGTGAAGCAGCCCATCTCTCTGCTAATCCATCTCCTTCAAGCATCTGAACCACTTCAGACATTTTCGGTCTGTGCGCTGGAAGAAACTGCGTGCAGAGTAATGCCACTTGCAACATCTCTCCAACTTCTATCCTATCGTAGCTTGTTCCGAGTTCTCTATCCACAAGCTCCTCTACTTTCATTTCTTTGTGCAGCTTCCTCACCTGCAAAATCCATATTTCATCATTCTCTCTAAGGAGTTTCAAGACAAGATTTTTGGCATAAAGTTATAGTTTTTTTTGCTTACCCATTCAAGCATAGCTCCTTTCTGGCTAACGGTTTTGCCAAACTCAAGAGCTCTCATTCCTGTGATGAGCTCTAGCAAGAGTATACCGAACCCAAAGACATCGGTTTTCTCAGATGACTGACCGGTTGAGAGATACTCAGGTGCAATGTGACCAACCGTTCCTCTAACCGCGGTTGTGACATGTGAATCCGCATGGTTGAGTAGCTTAGCGAGCCCAAAATCTCCAACGACAGCTTCAAAATACTCATCTAAGAGAATGTTTGCTGCCTTGACATCTCGGTGAATGATCTTTGGATCACATTGCTCGTGTAGATAAAACAAACCTCTCGCAGCTCCTATAGCTATCTTCTTCCTTGTGTTCCAGTCCAATGCTGGTTTAGCTGTAACCAATAGTAACACAAATCAGTTTCAAAGTGATTTCAGTTTTTGTGACTAAAAAATCATACCTTTAAGCCTAGAGGCAACGCTGCCATTGGACATGTAAGGGTAAACAAGAAGTCTTTCGCTAGAACTCGCGCAATAACCGATTAACCGAAGCAAATTCCTGTGTACAGCTAAGCTGATCATCTCAAGCTCGGTACGAAACTGTGAGTTCCCGGAGGCTCCATTCACATCTTTTAATCGTTTCACTGCAACCATTGTCCCGTCCACAAGCTTTCCTCTGTAGACATTACCGAACCCACCAGCACCAAGAATGCTCTTGGAACTAAAACCATCCGTAGCTACATGGAGTTCTCTGAATGTGAAGCTTCTTAGATTCCCCAATCCTAGTAACCCTTCCTCTTGCTTGTCTGCAAAAAAACAACAAACACAAACACAGTTGTTAACTCAAGACAACAGTGTCTTTATAAAATGCAAATGATGTAAAAGAACAAGACTGAAGTTGCACGAACCACTTGTGCTAAGGATCATTAGCCTTCTTTGTTTCTTTCGGTACCAAACGAACATAAGAGAGAGGATTACACTAACAGCAAAGCCAAGACTTACGCCAAGCGCAACCGCCAATATGTTGGTTCTGCGTCCTACAAAAATCCCAAAAGGTGATAATCTCATAACAAGGATAAAAAAAAACATTGAAGGAAAAGCAAGACTGTGAAACCAAAGATTTTACCTGAAGAGGAGCTTAAAGAGACAGAAAGAGGGCTAGGATTGATTGATCCTGAACAAATCTCAGGTGGACTGCTTCTACAAATCAAAGGGTTCCCAGCAACACTACATTCAACAAGAAAATCAATTAAAAAACTCAATCTTTGATCAAGAACAGGAAGTGAGTTGAAATGCTTAAAACAAAAGAAGCTCTTACTTGAATGTCCTTGCAGGAAATTTAGGAACAGGACCTCTGAGGTTGTTATAAGACAAGTCTCTGAACCAAAACATCAAAAACATGAGTATAAAGAAGTAAAAGGAGAAAACTTTGAAACATAAATCATGAAAATCTTTATATTACTCACAAGAAAGAGAGGTGGGGGATTTGAGACAGAGAAGCAGGAAAGGGCCCAGATAATGAGTTATTGTTCAACCTCCTGATCAAATCATTACAGAACGTACGAGGTTTAAGAGGACAAGTTTTGATTAAAAAACATCATTTGTAATCTGAAAAAAAAAAAAGAGACTTACAGATATAGGAGGCTACTCAGTTGATTAACCGAACCGGGGATTTCACCGGAAAACCGGTTATTGGACAAATCCAAAGTCTGTAGTTTGGGAAGCGAACAGAGTTCCGGTGGGATTTTGCCGGAGATGTTATTGTTCTGTAATAACCTTCAAAATCCACACAAAAACAAATACCCATCAGTATAAAATTCGAATCAAGGTTGAAGAAACAAAAAAACAAGCAAAGTTCCAATTTTTTTGTAATGTTATGAAGAAACAAACAAAAGAGACGATGTCGTCGTAATCTTACACTTGTCGGAGATTAGTGAGATTTCCGATTGACCCAGATAAAGTTCCAGAAAGAGACTGGCTTGGAGCTCCGCTGCAATTGGAAAAGAAGATTTGTCGCCATTAATGCCATTTTTCTAGGAGTTTTACAAGAAATCAAAAAAAAATTTTAAAATAAAATACTTACAGGCCAGTTACGAGGTTGTCGGGAGAACAAGTGATCATCGTCCAGCTACAAGGATCAACAGAAAACTCATCCCAGTTTTTCAAAACACCATGAGGATCATGTAAATCGTTCTTTATGTTTATCAAAGCTTCCACTGTAAAACCAAAAAAACGATTATTTGGGTACAGAAATTTTGAAATTTTCGAACACCTAAAGAAATAAAAAAGCTATCTTTTTAATTTTACCTTCGGGGTTTCTGGGCTCAGAAGAGAGAGAACAAGTAGAAAAACAGAGTAACAAGAAGGAGACGAAAGAGAAGAGAAAAGAAGGATTCTTCATTGTTATCTTCATAACCACCATGAAAGCTTTAGCTTAGTTTACCAGAAGGGAGAAGGAAAGACAAAAACAAAACGGAAGAAGCACAGAGGAAAATCATTACTTTGTTGATGTTTTGTGCCAACGAAAACGAAAAAGAGTGAAAGAGAAAGAGAAAGCAAAAGCAACAAAGAAGAAAAAAAAAATGAATGCTTTTTTTCTTGGGTCTTATAAAAATTTTGTTTTCTTTTCTCCTTTGTCTCTCACACACACTGAATTTTGTATGTGTTGTTATGAATTTAAGGAGATAATCAAACAAAGAAAAAGCTAAACTTGTGAGAGAGAAAGCTGAAAAACCATAAATTTGTAGAGAGAGTGTAGGTTGTGCTATGGTTTGTGGGGAGGGAGAATCAGGTAGGAAAGCTGATACGGACCCGTATTGGTCGATACTTTCTCTATTGAAGTTTTTTGTTTTTTTTGTTTTAATTCTTTTTGATGCCAATTTTGTGAAAACTTGTTTTACACATACATAAGGGGTGAAAAAAGAAAAAAGGAAGAAAAAAAGAACTAGTCTTTTTTTTCATTTCTATCTGTTTTTTTTTGGTGATGTGAATAGAACGGAAGCATCGTGAATCAAAATATATTGTTCTATGTTTGTAAAAAAAAAAAAGACAATGAAGAGCATTATTCTTTTTTTTTTAACTGGGGAATTTTTTGAAAATACCATTACTATGTTTTGTTTTCTAAAAGAAAAGACGAAAAGCAGTACAGAAAAAACTAAAATCATATGTCAAAAAACTATATTTTGATATCATACTAAGTTTTATATAGGTTTGCAACTCAAAATTAATTGATAATAATAATATTAAATTATGTTGTTGTATATTAATCTTAGGCTTTACTTGTGTGATTCTAATAACTTTTTTTGAAAAATATATTCCTAATTAAAACTGTAAGTTTCTTACACAAAATTATATTGTCGTCGTCACAACAACCAAAAATACAAGATAATTCAATAGTTTGAATCATATATTTTGTCTCAAGTAAAAATAGTAAAATATAAGAAGAATTGACGTGTGTAATGTACTACTACTAGCACCACTTGTTAACACGGTACTACCAGTGGCAGTGGGTACGAGACTGTTTTACCCTAACATGCACCTCTTTTCCTTTTGTCTTGTTCATAATTCTTCCTTATTTTTCACTACAATTTTGTTCATTGTAATTTCTTAACCCCAATTCGAAAGTTTCATGGTAATGTTATTTAATTTTATCTATTAAATGATCTACGAACATATATACTTTTATTTATTATATCTAAGAACATATTAAATGAGATAAGAGTAAGAAAAAAAAAGGCTGGAATACGGAAAGAGGCTTGCTTTTGCCTTGCCTGATGTGGTGTGATTTGTGATGTTACATTTTCTCTGACAAGTCCCTCTATTTTTCTTTTCTTCTCTTTATAGCCCTTTATTGTTTTCGCTACCAGTATGTCCCATTCTTTTTCACTATTATTATTATTTGTCAGCAATTTAATACACTAATGATTTCAGCTTTACGTTTAGCTTATTTTATGATTCTAGTTATTCTTTCTCGTCACATGTTACTTTATACACTTTTTTAAAGCTGAGTTTTTATCACAATTTTTTTTTTTTTTTTTGTTTAAGAAATTAGAACAGATTATAATCAAAACCCAAAAGGGGGCAATAGAGATAAATACGACAATACCAATACAGCAAAGCACCGACAAAGTCAAGGAGGGTGAAAGACCTCGAACCAAGTTGAGAGATACGAAACAGTTGATGGGAGATTTCGTTGAGCTCGAGAGAGCGGGTCGAGTCTGCAACGAAGAGTTTTGTTGATGTCGTTAATAATAGCTGAGGGAGGTCTAGCTGTGCCTGAGTGAAGTCTGGGTTCCTTTCCTTCCATATGAGGTAAATGGATGCCTGGTATAACAGTTTGAGGATGAGTGCGATGTTCTTATCTCTGGTGGGGTCCTTAATCCATCTTAACCCATCCTCAAACAAGGTAGGAGGTGTAAGATGGGCTTTGGAAGTAAAGAAGGACCACACCTGAAAGCTAAAGCTGCAGTCAAAGAACATATGTTGTCTGGATTCATCCGCCGAGTTGCAAAGCAAACAGTTTGTGGGAACATCAAGGCCCCACCCTCGCAACCTATCTCGAGTAACAAGTCGATTCCTCGCTGCAATCCAAGTGATGAAAACATGCTTTGGTATGCGACTCTTGAACCAAACCGAGGAGTACCAATCAACAACAGCACCCGAAGGATGTAATGAAGTCCATGTGCCCGAAGATGAAAACGTCTCACTCCCAGCCTTATCAGGAAGCTTCCACAAGTACAGATCATAAACCTCAGAATCCGCAATCATTTCCGCCGGAGGGAGACAATTCCTCAGCAAGGAGATAATCGGGTGACGAGACCGGGATGATGAGACGCGCCATTGTCTGCCATTCATAGCATCAGAAACCGTAGAGGAGATGCTCACCCCTGTAACTCTGGGGCCATTCTCTCCTGTCAATTCAATTAAAGGGCCCAACATCGTCCAGTTGTCGTGCCAGAAGTTGGCGGTTATGCCAGATCCTGTCTGACAGATTACAAACTGCCTCGCTGAAGGTCGTAACTTACAAAGACTCTTCCAAATCCAACTAGATGAGTTATCAGCGTCCAGAACCCAAAAGTTTTCTGAGCCAATGAGATTGTGTCTGACCCATGATACCCACAAAGAACCTCCGGCAGTGAAGATTAGCCATATCAATTTCAGCCCTAAAACTTTGTTCCAAGCCGATATTCTCCTCAAGCCAAGCCCGCCACTCTGCTTAGGGGAGCACACTGAATCCCAGCTAATCTTAACACCTCTCGCGGAGGTATGAACACCCTTCCAAAGAAACCCATTACACATCTTCTCGAGAGCAGCAATGCATTTGTTTGGCAGCAAAAACATAGATGCCCAGAAGCTTATAGTCGAGTAAATGACTGATTGTATTAGTTAAAGACGGCCGGCAAAAGATAAGTATCTTACTGTCCATAATGAGAAGCGTTTTGCAATTATTTCCAGCAGAGGCTTGTAGTCCTGATGGCGCATCTTGCGGGATGTTAGTGGAACTCCGAGGTACCTCACCGGAAAGGAACCAGGAAGTAACCCAAAAGAATCTGCGAGCTCCATCCCATTTTCCATATTTCCACCATCAATAAACACAGATGACTTATCTCTGCTGAGCCCAAGACCAGATATGAGATAAAAATCATCCAAAATAGACATAATACCATGAAGAGAATAATGTGACCCATCGAAAAATATGAGAACATCATCTGCAAAGCTCAGATGGGTCACTAGAGGAGTTGTACATCTCGGGTGAGGGTTGAAAGTCCCTGAAATAACACCAGCGTCCAACTTTTTGGATAATATGTCCATTGCAAGAACAAATAACAAAGAAGACATGGGATCACCCTGTCTTAGCCCTTTCTTCCCTGGAAAAAAGCCGACCAACTCACCATTCAACGAAACGCTGTAAGTAGGAGTGGAGATACAAACCATTATCCAATTTACAAAGATGGTTGGTAGGTCCCAAGCCTTCAAAAGATTTAGCATGAAGGTCCAATTTAGATTGTCGTAGGCCTTCACAATATCAGTTTGCAAACATCCTCTTGATGTGATGCCACACTTATGAAAGTCGGTTACAAGCTCTGAAGCTAGCAGTACGTTCTCACATAATAGGCGACCTTTGACGAACCCAACTTGATTGCCTTGGACCACAAAGGGCACAAAGAGCTTGAGACGATTTGTGATGATACGCGAGATGACTTTGTAAACTGTCGTACAACACGACACAGGCCTGAACTGCTTCAGCATATCCACTCCTGGAAGTTTCGGAATTAGCGTAATAGCCGTGTGATTGAACCTACGAGGTAATGAGCCTGATAAGAAGAATTCTTTAACCGCAGAGGTAAAATCCGAACCCACTACATCCCAGGCTTCAGTAAAGAATTCCTTAGGAAACCCATCTGGCCCTGGCGCCTTTCCGCGAGGCAATGAGAGTAAAGTCTTTTTTATTTCCTCGTCCGTAGGAATCTCAACGAGCTGAGAGGCTAATGTGGGAGGACAACGATACGGGTGAATATCTTGTAGAGCATCAATAGACAACGGGACCACATCACTATTTGGAGAGCCCAGCAGATTCTGAAAGTAGCTGATAATAAGATCCTTGATCTGAGCGTAGTTCTCAATACGACTCCCATTCTCCAACCTCAGAACCCGGATTGAATTACTAGCTTGCCTAGCTAGAACGGCTTTGTGGAAGAACCTAGTGTTTTGGTCACCTTCGCTGAGCCACCTTATACGTGATTTCTGCTTATAAAAAATTTGAAGAGCATTGTCAAAGAACAGCCACTTCTGCCTTGCTTCTGATTCCTCTTCAACAAGAGCGTGAGTAGGGTTAGACATGAGGTTCCTTTGAATATCTTCCAGATGTTCAAGAGCCTCCTTAGTTCGCTGTTGGATATTACTAAAACCCTCGTGGTTAAGATCCTTACAGCACAACTGAGCAGCCTTCAACTTTTTACCCAACGTAATCAATTTAGATCCCACAAAATCAACCTCAGTCCAAACTCGAGATATTGATGATAAAAAGGTAGGGTGAGAGGCTAGGAAGGAAAATTACTTGAAGCTCTTCTTACCCCCTTCCACATTAGCAGAAAGATTCACTAGACATGGAGAGTGGTCTGAATCGCTTGGAGCATCAAAAAGAGCCACAGAATCAGGAAAAGTATTTAACCAAGCTTCATTTACAACAGCACGATCAAGTTTGCGAAGAATAGGATCAGCCGGTCTCAAATTTGTCCAAGTGTAAAAGACACCTCTGGATGGCAAGTCCGAGAGTTCATTATCCTCCATGCATGTTGATAACTCCCCCATGCCTCTTAACGGAAGGTCAGTAAGCCTTAAAGAGTAGTGCTCATCCTAGGTTAATATCTGATTAAAATCACCTAAAAACAGAGCTGGAGTCAATCTCATCGGATATCTTTAATTATAGAGGTAAAATCAGCCCAAAGCCTTCTGCGCTCCGCTTCAGTATTTCGCGCATACACAAAAGAGACAACGAAGGAGGAGTGAAGACCTGGAAGCTTGATTCCACAAACCATCATTTGATCAGTTGATTTGAACACAATGACAGATACAGATGGATCCTAAACCACCCAAATTCTCCCATTTTCAGCCGCTGAGTAATTATTATCCGAACGCCATCCCGGAAATGTGGAAGCCAAAATATTATTCGCATCGT